CAGGGAGCAGCCGCATGGTCTCCTGGGGTGAGGCTGGCTCCTGCGGTACCCGGCTGCCATCTTATACCTGCTGCTCCCACCCCGCACCTGCCGACTCCGCCGTCTGACTCACCTGGCAGCTGACTCAGCCACGAAGGCGGGCTGGGGCCCACCCAGCCCCCAGGCCCGAGGGCAAGCCCAGTTTATCATGCAGACCTCTTTCCTTGCCCATCAGGTTGCAGGGTGGGGATCAGGTAAGACCGCCTGGCACAGGGCGGACCCTCAGCTCACAGACTCTGGTTTTCCTGCGAGGAACTGGAACGAGGGTCCAGCACGGGCCTGAGCTCACCCTTCCCCCTCAACATGCCAGCGAAGCTTAGGGCCAGCCAAAACTGCCCCCTAGGTGTTCGATGACCAGCTCCTCTCCGCAGAGGCAGAACACGGGCGTCCTCAGTGGTCCTGCCTGTCAGATGGGCCTTTGTCCAGAAGTGGCTGTGGGGGCCTGCCTGCCTTGCTAGGAGTCATGCGGGCTCATGGCTGTCACCGAGCTCACACTGCAGGACCCAAGACCTGCAGCTGTTTGCCCGGTGGGGGGGGGGGGGGGGGGTAGCAGAGAGGTATTTAAAAGGGTCCCATGATGGGTGAGAGCCCAAAAGGGCACACGTCCGCCAGCCACACCGTTCTGCCAAAGCTGGCGGGGGCTGGGGCAGGATGGGGGCAGTGCTGGGGGCGTCCGCGGGGCGTTGACGCTGCCCATCAGCGGAGCCCTGTGTGTAAGCTCTGGCTGCTGAGTGGTGTTTGTTGGCCACTCTATCTGGTGGGCCCCTTGGGGCTGGGGGCTGGGTAGATTCAGACCTGCTCCCAGGTGGAGGAGCCTGAAAGCCGGGGCGGTAGGTGGGTTCCTGGGGTCCCGCCTCCCTCCCCCGGCCCTCTCCAGCCTTCCCTAGGGACCCCTCTCAAAGGGAGCAGCTGGGTGAGTTGGTGGGCCTGCCACTTTCCCTGGAGCCCCAGAAACCTCCTGCCTCTCCGGCTCGCTCCCCTCCCGCGAGTCCTCCCCTTGCCCTGGGCCAGCCCTGGCTCCAGGGACAACTGGATGAGCCAGGGTGAACTGGAGTCCGGGACCGACAGGGCCAGCAGGACCAGTCCTACCAGACCGGACAGGAGGAGCTGAGCTCGGGCCAAGGTGGCTGGTGAGGACTGACCAAGGGCAGACACATTTATTGATCCATTTATTCACACACTCGAGATACTGAGGGGGCCTCTCTGAGGGCTAGAGTGAGCCAAGGAGGGCACCCTGGCCTGAGGGCGGATTCTCATGCTGGTCAAGGTCAGAGTCAGGGCTAGGGGTTAGCATTAGCTGCTGGCAGGGGCACAGCCCTCGAAGTGCCCAGACCTCGCAAGTGGCATGAAGGCAAGAGGAACCTCCCACCGATCCGTCCGTCTGTCCATTGGAGGCCTCCTGTGTGCTAAGCCCTGGGCTGGGAATGTACACCCACAGCCTCGTCCATCCCCCTGAGGCCTCGGCTTGGTGGGAGCCATCATTCCCACTTTATCAATGAGACAGCTGAGGCTCAGAGACGTGAGTGATGACCTCCAGGCACCCCGAGTTGTAGGATCCAACAAAACTCACTGAGGGGGGGGCAGGAGAAAGAAAGAGGTGTCCCAGTTTCTTTGTACCCTTTTCAGAGGTAAGATACATGTTTAACAAACAAATCAGCCACTGCCAAGGGAGATGGGGCGGTTGGTCCAGCCTCCCCGTCCTCCGCCCAGGACCAGGGCACCAGCAGCGGGGCTGGTGGGGCTGGCGCTCTGGATGCACCCCTTCCTGGTGCCTTCTGCATGCAGCGGGGCTAGGCTGCATGCACAGCTCTGGAGCTGCCTCTGGCTGCAGACGCCAACCTGTGCCCCCGGGGTCAGCGCCTGCAGCCCCAGCTCCTCAGCTGGGCTCCGAGGGTAGCCACAGGCGGCGGCACGGCACAGAGACGCTCAGGCGGCTTCCAGACTTGGGACACCACAGAGAGCTTCGGGGAGCCCGAGCATCTATCCACATTGAGGGGGTACTCACTTCCGCTGGAGGGGTCCCCACAGCGGACATGCCCACTGCCTGGGGGCAGCCTGCTGCCCCCGTGCCATCCTCTCTGTGACCCCAGCGCACGGTCCGGGACACAGACACAGGGCTGGATGCCTGCCTGGGGTCCTCAGGGCTCCTCAGATCTCTGGTTCCACTCTTCTCCTTCTAGAGCTTTCCTGACCCTAAGCTCTTAGAAGTATTTCACAGGCTCAGATCGCTTTCAGTTTACAATCCCCCTCCTCGGCTTCCCCGCCCCGGGCTCAGGGATGCAGTCTCCCAGCTGGTGGGAGAAGACTCTGCACAGTGGGGCAGGGGTGTGGTGTTTGGGCACCCCGGTCACGCTGGGCCTCAGCTTCCTCACCTGTAATGGGGGTGTGGTAATGGTTCACACCTTGCAGGGTGGACGCGGAGTGCTTGCAGCCGGGACAAGGGAAGCCACAGAGGTCAGCTCCCGTCCTCGTGAGTGCCGTCCCCACTGGCACTGCCCTTCGAGTTCAGTGTCACAGGCTTCCCACTAGGGGCCGGCCCCGTTCTTAGTTGAGGGCCTCTGTGCTGGGTTCCGAAGGCAGCCCAGCCGGCCAGGGGCCTGTGGGTAGGTGGGTGGGGTGGGGGCAGTATCATGCGGGCCAGGTACAATGTTGTGGGTATTGGGTTTGGACCGGGTCACAGCGGAGGATGGACAGATGGGGACAGAAGGCAGGTATAAGCAGCACCCCCATACTGCAGCAAGCCCGGGTCCCTGCTCTCAGTGACCCCAGAGCCCACAGGCGGCCAGGCAGGCCTCTAACTTCATCACCCACTGAGGGGAGGGAGGACTGACCCTGTGCTCCTCCCCAGCTGTGGCCTGGGGCACCTGCTGACCCAGGACAAAGGTCTGACACAAGCAGTTTAACAACTGCTTCCAAGCCTCTCCCACTGAGTCAGGAGGCCAAGCGTGGCCAGGGCTGGAGGCCCACGTTCACCCTTTCTTCCAGCTGGCTTCCGGATCCAGAGGCCTCTGCTGGCCTTCCAGCCAGCTCTGTGGGGGAGCTGGGTCCCTTCTGGGGGGTCCAGCTGGACCTGTAGGAGCTCAGGGCTGGGGTCTGGCTTGCTCCCAGCCTCCCCCAGGGAAGGGCTCACACTGAATTGGGCTTCATGAGGAGGAGACACCCAGGTCTCCTGTGGGGACTGAGTTCTTAACCAGACACTCCTTGGGGTGCAGCTCCTTCTCTCCCAGGATGAGGCCCATCTTCCCGGACCTTCTGGGAGTTCCAACCAGCTCTGCCTGAGGACCCCTACTGAGGCTCACGCAGGCTCTCCCAATCCCTTGAGCTCTGGAGGCACTGGGTGAAGCTCTGCAGGCAGCCTCTCCAGCACAGGCCCCCTGATGAGGGCCACGTTTGGGGGCCATGGGCTCCTGAGTTCCAGGGACAATCCCACCACATAGGCATTTGCCACAATCCTGCCAACTTAGGACCAGACAGCTAGAAGGGGGTCCTGGGCCCCTCTACAGACACCAGAGCTGGGGACACTGATCAGGTAGCCCTTATCCAGGATAAGGGCTGGATATGTGCTGGGCAGACATATCCCCAGCTGGGCGGTGCTGTGCTGGGTGGACTCTTGTTTCCCAAACCAGGCCAGGGATGGGATTCACCTAGGCTGGGTACCCTTTAAATAATGCCAATTCTTGGGCCCTTGGGGGTCCCAATGCCTCACTGGGTTGGGGGCACCCGCAGACCACTCCTCAAATCAAGGAGGGAGCTCTTCAGCCCAGGGTGGACCTCTCTCCCCCCCCTCAGGTGGAGTCAGAGGGTAGAGGGTCCTGTGGAGACTCTCAGGCTGATGGGCTCAGCCTTTGGGTCCAAGGCCAGCTCAGCCAGCACTCATTCAGCCAGGCCTGCGGGCCACAGCGGAAGGGGGCCAGAGGGTGTGGACAGTGGTTGTTGGGATTGGGGTTGCAGAGGAAATCCCGGGGTGCAACTTCTGGGGGGAGCCTGGTCATCTGCATCCCAGACCCCGCCTCTCCCAGCCTCTGTCCCGGGTGGACTTCCAGGATCCCCCAGCCCTGGCTGACTCCGGTGGGCACATTCTGTCAGACGCCTGCTGCAGCTCACCCCCCTCCATTAACAGGCATGCTTGGGCTGAAGACCAGGCTGTTTTGGCCCCACTCAGCTTCCTTCCCTCCCTGCCGAGAATAGCCCTGGGGTCAGCTCTCAGGCTCCACCAAATATAGCTGCCTGCCTGCCCTGCCCCCAAGTGCCGGCCAGCCTCAGGCCAGGGTGGGGAAGGGGGAAAGGTCAAGGATTTGGCAGAGCAAGAAAAAGAACCTCTTGCTAGGCTTCTGGGACTGGGGGCCCGAGGGTCCTCTTTAGGATGAGCCCACCCCAAGCCCCCAGCCAAGGGCTGCCTGGATACACCAGGCTTCCTGGCACACCTACCTGGGACATCTGACAGGGACAAAGGCCTTCCTCACATGGCCCTCTATGCCACACCTACCCTGGGCAGCTCCTGGCCTCAGTCAGACCACAGAGACCGCCCTCCTAGTGCCCCAGCAAGCCCTTCTTCCCAGGACGGTCCCCCACCCATCCTGTCCCTACTTTGCCCTGTGCCTCCACACACTTACTGGGCAGACTGTGGCAGGGCCTTGCTCCCAGAGCTGCCACGAAGGTGGGCCAAGTCTCCCTGCAAATCAGTGTTCCTCAGCCAACTGAGGACCCCAACTAAGCAGCACACTTTGCCAGACACCTTTGGGAGGGCTGATCCCACATCAACCTTCCGAGCATGGAAGGTCGTGGTCTGGGAGCGAGGCCCAGGGCGGTGGGCACTCCAGCAGGCAGTCCTGGGTGTGGCTGGGTGGGGGGTGGGGGGGTCTCTGGGAGTGCAGAAAGTGGGTGGGGTGTGCAGGGTGAAAGGGTAGGGCTGAGCCTCTCGGAACTTTGTCCTTGAGTGGGTCTGGGTGGGGGGCGGGGGTTTAGAGCAGACCCCGGAGAGTAGCCAGGAATATGGGGGCCAGGGCCAGGGTCCCGGGGACGGAGAGGCCAGCGCTGTTACAGAGGTCATACTGGCAGCAGGAGGTGGTAGAGGTGTGTCTGGAGTAACCATCGTACACGGTCTCGAAGCAGCTGGGCACACATGACTTGCTCACCTTCATCTTGGTCGGGGTGTAGTCTGCAGAGGGGAGGTGGGCGAGGACCCCAGGTTGGCCCACCCTGGCGCGCAGGGCCTTTAGGGCCGGTTCTCCCTCAGCCAGGTGATCCCAGAAAGAATCCTGGGGCAAGTGGGAGCCTCCCTCCTCAGGGTCCCACACTCCCAGGGGCAGGAAAGAACACCCCTCACGCCTCCCAGAAAGGGCTGCTGGGGGCACCCGCTGACTCACAGGTGCGCGTGGTCATGCAGTAGGTCACCATGGCCGGGCAGCGCATGGGGTTGAAGCAGTTCTCTCCGTTGTAGGCACACACGTGGCAGTCCAGAGCCTGGGCTGGGGGCCGGGGGATGGGGTGGGAGCTGGGTGGGGAGGGTCGCCGAACAGGGAGAGGCCCCTCCTCCAGCCCACCGGACCCCAGGTCCCGCCACCTTGCCCAGGGCAGAACAGCTAGAAGGAGAGGTGGTTAGGAGTTCCGGCCTCCCTCCCCACTTCTGGCCCACCTGCCCCCGAACATGGGGCTGTCCATCTTTCTGTTCTCCATCCGTCTTACCCAGAGGGAGGCCCACCAGGGCCACCAGGAACAGGATGAGCAGGGGCGCCATGGCTGGAGGTGAGAGAACAGAGTGGGAGTGGGGAGGTGAACAATCCAGGCGGAGGCGGGGGGAGAGGGGGCAGACCACCCCCTGCTGTCCTGGAGCTCCTGGTTTACTGGAGGCACGGCGGTCCTGCAGAGAGGGGGACAAAGACAGGTGGTCACCGCGGGGACTGAGGGACCCCAGGGGACCTGGGCAGAGGAGTCCTGTGCAGACCTGTGCAGACTGAAGGGGGGGTAGTTCATGCAGGGGCCCTATCCTCACCTAAGGCCCTGAGTGCAGGACTGGGCCCCAGGGGTGGATCTCTCTTCACTGCTTCCCCTCCTCTTTGCTTCTGGAGATGAAGACGAGCTGAAGACAAAGCATAAGCGGACACCTAGCAACCTCCCCCCGCCCCCCCCTCCTGGGTAGGATATGGGATATTGTTCCAAGAAGCTCCCAACTGTCTTAATGTTATTGCTTTACTACAGGGAAAAAAAACCCTTGACAAGAGCAAGGCCTCCAGTATCTTGTAGGTCCTCTTTAGCATATGAAAGGTCTTTTGAAAACCTCCATTTTTCCTTCCCTCCACCAACCCCATAGTATATAATCAATTGCTCCTCACAACCCCAGGGCAGCTCCTTCTGCCCATGGTCCCGACCCCGGGCTTTAATAAAACCACCATTTTGCACCAAAGACCTCTCAAGAATTCTTTCTTGGTCATGGGCTCCAGACCCCACCCCACCAAACCTCACCTATATTCCAAAACCACATCACTGGGGTATCCCTGAGTGGGTCTCCCACTTCTGCTCCTTTCAGGGCCCAGGTGGGGGCCGCTTTCCCAGGAAGACCTCCAGAGCCCAGCCTTACTTGGGCCTTTTCAGGTCCGAGTCCCTGGCCACAGGGGGAGCTCCCGGCAGTGATGAGCTCTGATCTGGCAGTGGGGGAAGTGCGCTTTGAATGTGTTCCAGAGGGGCACTTGGGCAAAACAGCAGGAAGAACTAACTTCCCAGTTTCCATACGGTGTTTGGGATGAAGACATTCAACCTCTGGTAAGGGGTTGGAGGAAATCTGGACTGCGACTCCCCTCCGCCCTACGGGGATATTCGGGAGCGGTGGGGGTGCACAGCGTCCCCACCCCAGGGGACTAAATTAGACTCCGCCCTCCCCGAGAACATCAAACCAACACTTCTTCCAGGCCTCATTTCCCAAGAGTCAAATGCCTGAGTGAGGCATCCCATTTCAGGATGTCAAAGGCCTGAGTGAGGCCAGGCCTGCGGCTCCAGCGCTTCCCGCCCCCTCCCGGAGAGCTCCGCCCCAAAGACTGCGGTCCCAAGCAGAGGGGGAAGGTTTCGGGGTGACCTCCACAGTGACCTTCAGCACACTTGTACCTCCGCTGCGCCCAGGACTCACCCGCGGCCACTCGCCGACCGCTCGGTCTGACAGCGCGATGGTCCGAGCGCCCCGCATTGACCACGCCGCAACACCCCTCCACAACTTCTGCCGCTGGAAGCCACGCACTGCGCGTGAGCTCACTGCACAAGGCCCCGCCCCGCCCCGGCACGCCCCCGGCCGGCTTTGGACCCTCCCCGGAGCCGGACCTGGCCCGCCCCTCTCCAGCTCCTTCCCGTCTCCGCCCCGCCCCCCCCGCCCGCCCCCTCCAGTCCGTCGCAGCCCCGCTCCGGCCCCGCCCCCTCCCCTGCTCCAACTCCCGGCTCCACTTAGTCTCGGCCCCACCCCAGCCCTGCCCAGTCTTCGCCCTGCCCCGCTCCGCCCCCTTCCCAGCCCCGCCCAGTCCCCGCCCCAGATCCGCCCTCGGCTCCATTTCATCTTGGCTCCGCCCAAGCTCCGCCCCCGTTTCGTCTCGGTCACGCCCCAGCTCCGCCCAGTCTCAGCCCCGCCCCGGCGCCGCTGTCTCCGCCCCCGCCCCAGGTCCGCCCAGGCTCCACCCCCACCCCCTCGGGTCTCGCTTCAGCCCGCGGCCCCCCGCCCACGTGGACTCAAACCCCAGCCCTGGAGTCGCGTACCTCGGGAACCGAGAAGTGCGGCCCCACAGTGATACCCACGCGATCCTCAGATGCACGTGCACCGTTCAGGAGCTATCTCCACGGGGTCTGGCCGCAGTCACCCCGCTGAAACTTCTGGCTCTCCCTATCCTCCCCCCTGCTTCTGCCAGATGCACTTTGCCCCCTTGCCCACGCCATCACCCGGGCCCTATTCCTTGAGCCCAGTTCAACAGAGGTGCTGCTTGGAGCTGTCCCAGGGCGCAGTGACCCCCGGACCTGGCTCCCTATTCAGCCTGCCTGGGTCCCACCTCGCCTTGCCTTAGCTGCTGAATGACTTCCGCATTTTACCTAGCATTTCTGGGCTTCAGTCCCCGCGCCTGGTCCCATCTAGCAAAGTGTAAAGGCAAGCCTTGAAAGGATCCCATTATTTCATGGACCACCTCCAACCATAATAACATCAATATTGAATAAGTGTTTTTTACTTACATAACTTTACTTCAGCATTTAGCTTTTCTGTTTTAGGCAAAATTTTAAAATTTTCATGGGCCCTAAATGTTTCATTTTTTTTCTTTTTTTTTAAAGAATGTGTTTATTCATTCATCCATTGTGAATAACATCCTTTAGTTTTATTTTATTTTTTTAAGATTTTACTTATTTATTTGACAGAGACATAGCGAGAGCAGGAACACAAGCAGGGGGAGTGGGAGACGGAGGAGCAGGCTTCCCGCAGAGCAGGGAGCCTGATGTGGGACTCGATCCCAGGACCCTGGGATCACGACCCAAGCCGAAGGCAGACACCCAACGACTGAGCCACCCAGGTGCCCCATTTTTTTCCTAATGTGAAAAAGAAAACACAACATTCCATTTGACTATAAAAATTTTTTTTCTTTAAAAGAGAGGAATCATTTGGGGGGCCCTAGGCACTGAGCCTCCAGAGCCATGGAGGTAATCTCTCTGGGCAGACTGGAATGGTTGGTCACCCTATTTGCCAGTGATCACTGAGATGCCCCATGTACCCCAAATATTGTCATCCTCATGAAGCTCACACTCTAATGGGGCAGAGAATAAACACATGGGTCAAAACCAGAGCATGTCACAGGCTTCAGCATCAGGCTATGATGAATTAATGAGAACTGGGTTTACCGCCCTGTCTTTTTTTTTAATTTGTTTTAAATATTTTATTTATTTGACAGAGAGAGAGATAGCGAGAGCAGGAACACAAGCAGGGGGAGTGGGAGAGGGAGAAGCAGGCTTCCCGCAGAGCAGGGAGCCTGATGCGGGGCTCGATCCCAGGACCCTGGGATCATGACCTGAGCCGAAGGCAGACGCTTAACGACTGAGCCACCCAAGCGCCCCTTACCGCCCTGTCTTAAGCAACCAAAAAAGGGAGAACAAATGAAGCAGCACTTTTTGGACGTTGCATGACAGGCCAGCAGAGGCAGGGATGCTGGAGGAAGGGACTTCTAAGAAAAGAACTGCAGGCTTTGCCTCAGGGGGCGGGGGTGGGGGGGAACCAAACAGAGCCCATGCTCTCCCTGATGGAGGAGACAAGTGGAGAGTCAGTCGGGGAGGCCAGGGCAGCTGGCATTCACAGGGCAGAGCTCAGATGAAGGGGAGAGAGGAAAGAGCTAGGAGGTGAGCAGAGGGAGCTGTTGAGAAGGAGCAGGCAAAACAGTCCCCAGAGTCACACAGCGCTGGGGGTTCGCCTGTGTGAGCCGGGAGCAGAGACCTTAAAATATGGGGTCACTGGGCAGAGTGCTCAGAAGGAAATTGCCTTAATCGTGGGGACTACTCGCCTGGATTACAGATCACACCTGGTCCCACCTAACGAAGCCTAAACGCAAGCCTCGAAAGGGTCCAATCATCTCCAAGTAACTTCATTGCATCCTGAGACAAAACTCAAAAGAGAAAGGGAGCCAGCATCCCACAACGTAAAATTCATCTGATTAAGTGCCTGACACCCAATTGAAAACACCATCAGGTATGCGAAGAAGCAGGAAAATGTGGCCCATGGTGGGCAGAAAAAAATCATTAGGAACAGACTCACAAATGACACAGCCTATAGTGAGCACGTGCATTAAAACAGACATCATATTTCCTATATTCAAGCAGGTAGAGGAGAGCATGACTGTGTCCAGGAGCCGGGGGAAATAAAAAAATACAAATTGAATTTCTAACGATGAAAAATAGGTCTGTGATGAAAAACACGCTGCAGGGGGTGGGGGGTGATTAACATCCCAGTTGAGTCTGCCGGCCAAAGATCAGCGGGCTTGAGGATAAAGCATCAGGCAGAGGATGCCAGGAAACAGGATGAGCGGGGACAGCGCAGCGGGGAGCAATGTGGCCACAGCTTCTAGCGGCCCCGTGTGTGTCACCAGAGTCCCAGAGAACAGGCGAGGAAGACAAAAAATAGTTCTAAGAAATAATGGCCACATTTTCCCGAATTTGTTGATAAGTATAAACCCATGGGACCCAGAAACTCAATGAACCCCAAGCACAAGATATATGAAGAAAACCAGGCCAGAGCACGTCTTAGGCAAGTGCGGAGAAGCAGCGAGAGCCGGGGACCCTGAGGGCGCGCGGGAGAGTGCGCGCAGCGGCCTGGGTGAGCTAGCCGCACGGAGAGGCGACGTCTGGAACCCCAGAACCCAGGCCAGACTGTAGCAGCGCCTGGAGCGTCTGAAAGTGCAGGGGACAGGGCAGGCAAAGCCCTCCCCCAGGGCGGGGTGCAGGGGGCGTGGAGGGGGTGTGGAGGGTCCTCGCAGGGGGCGTAGAGGAGCATGCAGGGGCGTGCAGGGGCGTGCAGGGGGTGTGGAGGGTCCTTGCAAGGGTTGTGCTGGGGCATGCAGGGGGCGGCGGGAGGGAGAGTCGCCCCACCCCCCGACTGCGTGAGGGGTGTGGAGGGAATGTGGAGAGTCCTCCCGGAGGGCTGCATGCAGGGGGCGTGGAGAGTCCCCGCAGGGCTGCGTGCAAGGGGCACGGAGGGAACGTGGAGGGGGCGTGAGGGGGCGTGGAGTCCCCATC